AAAAACAAAAACAAAAACAAAAAACTGCCCATAGGGTTTCCAAGGCTGTAAATCTTTATAGAAGCAGACATATAGGGTTGTTGTGAGTCAGAATCGACATGACAGCAGTGGGTTTGATTTTGGTCAAAAGAAATTCTCCTCCAAGGTAGCTTCCTCCAGTGCGGACTTTATAAAAGCAGCCAGCTGTTCCCAAGCTTCATGTAGTGGGAGAGGGCCATTCTGATGTCAGACTACCTGATCCTAACCTTAGTCCTACCTCCACCTGCCCATCACAGAAAGCCAAAGAGGACAAACAGAGAGGGTGTGGGCAGTCTTCCCTCTCCCAACTGGCTAGTCTTGCCTTGGGGTGTTTCTGCGTTGGGGTGTTTGTAAGGAGCCTTTTCTGAGCACCTGTAGTATGTTCTGGGTCCTGTCTCTTCCCCAGTCTTGCACACTTCTGACTTAGATGCCAGTTTATTCTTTCATCCATTCAGACAATATTTATGGAGCACCTGCTCTCTTCTAGGTGCAGTAGAGGCACTTAGAATGCCTATGTTCTCTGTCCTCAGGGAGCTGGCATTTGAGCAGGGGGAGGCAGGCAATAAACATGATATATTAATAAATAAGAAAGAGTCTGAGAAGTTAAGAATTATTGTGGAAAAGAAGCCAGTAGTATAGGGAGGAGGGGCAAGTTGCAGAATTAAGGTGAGATAGATAGCTGCAACCACACTATGCCACCCAGACAGCCTAGTTCAAAGGTCATTTAGGTATATTCCTCACTCGACACTGGGTCTAGCATGTGTGGGAGTTCATGGCACATGTTGGGAAAGTAGATGGCTGTGTTTGATCTCAGGACTTCTCTGCTTTATGCTATGACCCCAAGGGATCTGTTCCGGAACACTTTTCCTGGTTTAACTTCAAGCACTTTCCTCTCCTAACTTTGAACACATCCACATTATTGAATAGACTATCTCCCGTCTCCTGGACTCATCAAAGTGCTGCCTGCTCCCAACTCCAGTGCATGGTTGGTGTCTTAGGTATCCAGCCCCTCAGTGAGACCTCAGACCTGCTCAGCACCTCCTCTAGCAGAAGCCTCCAGGGTGTCCTTGCAACCAAAGCCAACCCCACTGCTGTGGAGTTGATGCCAACCCATGGTGTCCTCATGTGTTTCAGAGTAGAACTGTGCTCCATGGAATTTTCTTAGATATAATCTTTACAGAGCAGATCACCAGGCCTTTCTTCCTTGGAGATGCTGTGTGGGTTCAAACTATTACCCTTTCAGTTAATAACCAAGAGCAGACCATTTGTGCCATCCAGGACCTCGCATACTCACTTCATAGCCGTGAACCCTACAACCCCTGCTGCATATGTGAGCATTCACAACTATGTAGGATGAAAAGTCTGATTATCCTCAGAAGTATTGACCCATTCTGCCTATTGACAGTGTTTGTAGATTTCTTCATTTTAGGTAGTAAGAAAAGAAAAACATCTAAAGATCAGCTTGCATTTTTTTTCATATATATTTATTCCAAAATAAAAAAAACATAAAATTTTAAGCAAATTATTACAAATAGTTTTAATTTAGGTTACTTTGTTTTTTAAATTGTGACAACTTAAAGAGGTGGTATTTTAAATTCAATAAATAGGATAAATAATATTTCATATTCATTCTCTGCTTAACACATATTCTTTCTGGAAAGTTTCCAGGAGACGTTTCAGAAATGTCAGTGTGTTGCCTGATGTGATGTGGTTGCATGGCTGTTCACAGGAGAAAGTCTGTGGGAATAAAAGTTGACAAGGACAGAGTGACTAAAACATTGTCAAATCCAGCAGTTCCAGGAACTACCCTGGCCAGAGCCCAGCAGGGTGTTGAGGGTGTTGGTGGGGAACAGGATGGATAGGAAGGGGTTTGAAACCTACAGTAAATGGATGTGGAGGACCAGGGCTAACATTATGTGTTGACAGTGTAGGTGGTTGGCTTTGTGGGTCTTTTCACACACACAAGCACACACATACACATTCACTCAGACACCTATCAAGTGGTTCTAAATTCCTCCATTAGAGGAGACTTTTCCATGGAAGTCTCTGGAGCCTAACATTGTATCATTACCTCTTTTGTTTTCTCTTCTAAGGTCATCTATAGCATAATGATTAAGAGCGGGGACTTAAAGTCACATAGACTCAACCCAGGTTCAAATCTCAACTCTACCATTTATTAAATATATAGCCTTAGGCAAATCATTTGGCATCAATTTCCTTTGCTATAAAGTGAAGGTGATAAGTTTCACAGCTTTCCCTAGGGTAGGTATAGTACAGTAAAACTTGTAAAAGCCAGAACCTGTGTAATGTGGAAACCTGCCAGAGAAAGAAAACTCAAATCTTTTTCACTAATAGAGAGTGATAGAAAAGTGGTAAGATTGCACCCTGTCAAAGGCAGAAAACTTGCAAGACATAGAAAAACAAGAGAGCCTCATCAAGTTCCGGCTTTACAGGTTTCACTGTATATATTAAACACTTGGAACTGAATGCTGATGGTGGTAGAAAGACAATAAGGCTGATATTCACTACTTGATGTGTAGCTAAATAGCTAAGTGAAAGGTTATCAGGCTTCTGTGGTCTCATTATTTTTGCTAATACTCAAGGAAGTAGAGTGCTGAGAGGAGGTCAACAGGTCCCCTCTTCCCCAACCAGAGTCAGTGTTGATAGAACACTTGCTCTAAAGAGGAGATGTGCTGGTGGGCACTGAGGGCTAATAGCAAGCTTCCACCTGTGATCCGGGCCTACTTCTCTGTATGTAGCTTCTTAAAAACCAGTCACCATCAAGCAAATTCCTACTAATGGCAACACTATTGATAATACCTCCTTAAAACCAAAAAACCAAACCCACTACTACCAAGTGTCCCTATAGGACACAATAGAACTGCTGCACAGCATAGCCAAGGCTGTAAATCTTTACAGAAGCAGACCGCCACATCTATAACATCCATTCAGTTAGCTAACTGAGTCTCTAGAATAATTTAGTGTTGTGGGACTATAGCTTTGGATTTGCTAGAGTTTAGCTTCTAATTGCAATCAGGATGAGTTCTTTCATTATTCATTAAATGGATAGAAGTAAATAGCCATGTAGGTGTGAGTGCACTTTTCAAAGCCCTTTCAAATTAGAAGGAACAATGAGCTTTATGGGGGCAGATCTCTCTTTAATCCTATTGATTCTGATTAAATTTTTTAGATATCCCTGATTAATCTTGACCTACCAATTCCAGCCTTATCATTCTTTCTCATTCAAATAAAATTAACATCAACCTTCACTTTAAAAGCACTACCCACAGCAAATCACATAGGAAAATAAACTCACTTGGCAGTTTTTCCTCTGTAGGGCTTCAATGGTTTTTTTCACCCGATTGAAATTCAGGGTGAGTTCTCTTTCCATTGTGATGTTGGTCAGCTGGGACAGCCCCTCCTGAAAGCATGGTGTAGTGCAGTTGTCCTGGTAAATAATGAGGAATTATGACAAGAAACATTCAGAGGACCAACAATGAGAAGGAATCACTAAAAGAATTATTTCAGAGACTTGTAATTGAGCCAATGTAATCTGACCTTGCATTATTTTTAGAGAAGAACTGCTCCATAAGGTTTCCAAGGCTGTAAATCTTTACAGAAACAGACTGTCTCATCTTTCTCCCATGGTGCAGCTGGTGGGTTCTAACCACTGACCTTTTGGTTAGCAGATGAATGCTTTAGCTATTACCAGAACTACCAGAGCTCCTAAAGCATGCGATACCAGAAAACCAAAACTCACTGACTCATAGAGATCCCCTTTGGGCTTCTAAGGGGCAAATCTTTATGGAAGTAGATTGCCCAGACTTCCTTTCACAGAGTGGCTGGTGGGTTTGAACCACCAAGCTTCTGGTTAGTAGTCAAATGACTTAGGCACTATGCTACCAGGGCTCCTTAAGTATGTGATGGCCATGCTAAATTATATAGGAAGAGAGCAAGGAAGGAAGAAGAAAAAAAGGAGGGGAGGAAGGCAGGCAGGCAGGATGCATAGCACACAGAAAAGCAAGAAGACACTCAGGAAGAGTCATAGTTTATGGCTGATGAAAGATAAAGGGTTGTCATTTTATTTACATTGTTATAGAACCCTAAAGATACAGCAAATCGGTTAGAAAGTAATATGATATGAACTATATAATTTATTGTGATCTTCATTCCATTTTTATTTCATTGGATACATGCCACTAATCTAAAAAGATAGTCCAGCTTGCTTTTAAAATTTTGAAATGTGTTCAAATTTCTCTAGAGACTTAGCAATTTATATAGTCTAGAGTTTCAAAAGTCTGGTTTTAAAAGGAAATATTAATCTGTAACAGTTGCAGTTACTAACACTTTATGACTTAAAAAAGCAAATAAAGCAACTGATTTTTACTTGGAAACAAGATCAAAGTTTTATTCTTTTACTATACTTACAGAAGGGATGGGAAGACACAAACAATTGGTCACCTGCAAGAGAGAATTTTCACAGTAAAGATTCCAGAAGTGAACATGAAAATTGTTTAAGAAAGTTCTTAAGAGTAGTTACTCACATTGGTGCTGCAGCTGCATGTAGAAGCTGGATGTTCCTAACATAGATGAAGAGACAAGAAACCATATTAAATGATGAGTTTTTTCACTCTATTATACTGCATTTACATTTTCAACAGCTGTTTCTCTGCCCAAACCCGTCTCCAAAACCTACCTGCAGTTTTTGGATGAGGTAGTTCACATACCCGGTCCCCAATGGGCTGAAACACATCTTGTCAGCCATGGAGGAGAGGAACAGGGCAGAAGCAAGAACAGTGGTCAGCAACATCTTTGCAAGGGGCAGGAGGTCAACCTGGAGGCACCTTTGAATCGAGCTGTATTTAAAGCTCCCTTTCAAACATGGGAAAACCCTAGCATCAAACTGATACCAAGGGCCCACTTTTCCTCTGTGACTCAGTTTGATTTCTTTTTCCAGTATCAAGTGACCCAAACTTACAGAGAAAAAGCAAATCTTCAGAAAAGATTGTCTTCAAAAAGTACTGCAATGCTATAGGAAAGGTTAAAGACTTTAAAACCATAGTTTTTTTTTTTTTTTTTTTTTTTTAAGGCAAGGATTCTGGTTGTGAGAATTAGAGTAGTTTCCATGAAAGGCCAGGTCTGTATTTTCCCCCTTGACATTATTGGAAATGGTGATATAATAGCTAGTCATGGGTGCTCACATGACGGGGGTGGGGGCTGCGGGGTGAGGGAGACAAGTGATGTTAGGATAGATCTCTTCTGTCTTTTGGGTTTTTCTCTTAGTGATTGCAACCTCAGTCTTACTACTTTATCCTCCAGTTGTAAAAATGTCTTTTATGCCTGGGACCAGATTCTCCAACTCATACAAAGACATCTGTGAGGTAGTTTTTTGTACTAGTCTCTGAAGGAGAGCAATGTTACACTGTTAATTCATAAGGTTTTCAGTAGCAATTGCTTCAGAAGTGGATGTCCCTGTCCTTCTTCCTAGTCTGTCTTAGTCTGGAAGCTCTGCTTCATTCTGTTGTACACAGTGTCGCTATGGGTTAGAGCCAACTCCATGGCACCCAACAACAATACAACAACTGAAGGAGAAAAAAACACCCTTAGTGCAGCAACAGTGCCTGCAGAAGTGTCCTTGAGGATTCCTTATTACTGTTCAAGAATTTGTGGACCACTGGGTGACATCAAGTAAAAACTCAGTTCTTGAAATAGGATAATAGCTATTTACTATATGCCAGCCATAGTTCTAAACACTTTATGTGAATTATTCCATGTAACCACCAAATGAGGTAGGTACTATTTACCATCCAAGTTTTACCTTTGAAGGAGCTCTGGTGGTATAGTGGTTAAGACAGTTGACTGCTAACCAAAATGCCAGTAGTTCAAACCCACCAGCTGCTCCACAGAAGAAAGATGTGGTAGTCTGCTTCCATAAAGCTTTACAGCCTTGAAAACCCAGTGGGGGTCTCTGTGAGTCAGAATTGACTCCATGGCAGTGAGGCCTTTGTTTGGTTGGTTGGTTTTACCTTTTAAAGCACTCTCTGTATCTTACATTCTCAGCCCTTTAATGGGGCTGTGATTGTCACTATGGCCAGAAAGCAATCTGTATGCTGTATTAACCTCACTGTAGTCCTGATAATAATAGCAAGTAGTATTCTTATCTTCATTTTACAGATGAGGAAATTAAGGTGCAGAAAAGTAAATAATTTACCCAAAGCTGTATAACCAGGAAGAAAGCAGCAGAATCTCAGTTCAACCCCAGAAGTCAGGCTTTTGGGTATGGCACTTAAGTCCCCTGCCTGCCTTCTTTCCTGAGTGTTCGTGTCAACCTTTCCCACCAGGATACATGCTCCACGAGGACAGGGCCTTGTGGGTAAATTTTACTCCTATATTCTCACCACTTAAGAAGGAATTTGAGGCATAGTGTGCTCCCAATAATTGCTTGTTGAATTAAGGTACTATTTTGAAGTTGTTTTTGAAATAGTAGGAAAGGTACACATAAGCTGGGATTTTATAAGTTTTCAAAATAGCTTAGGGTACATATTTGGAGGAATATACAGGTGAGAAAAATATATCTTCTTATACTCAAGATACAAAAGGTAAGACATCTTTATCTCGACTTTGAGCTATAGTGGCCAACAGGGATAAGCTCGTGTGATTTTCTCACCACTACATACAAGACAAAAATATCACTTTGAAGACTAAGATGTGATTATCCCAAACCATGGTGTTTTCAATTACCTCATATGCACGTGAAACCTGGACAATGAATAAGGAAGAACAAAGAAGAGATGATGCCTTTGAATTGTGGTGTTGCCAAAGAATACTGAAAATACCATATGCTGCCAGAAGAACCAACAAATCTGTCCTGGAAGGAGAGCAGCTGGAATTCTCCTTAGAAGCAAGAATGACCCGACTTCGTCTCACCTATTTTGGCCATGTTGTCAGAAGGGACTATTTTCTGGAGAAGGATATCATGCTTGGTAAAGTGGGGAGTAGTGAGAAAGGGTAAGACCCTCAACAAGACAGATTGACACAGTATCTGCAATGATGGGCTCAGGTATAACAAGGGTTGTGAGGATGGTACAAGACCAGGCAGTGTTCTGTTCTGTTATACATAGGCTCACTATGAGTCGGATGGGAGCTCTGGTGGTGTAGTGCCTGAGGCATTTGACTGCTAACCAGAAGGTTGGTGGTTCAAACCCACCAACCACTCCTTGGAAGGAAGACTGGGCAATCTATTTCTGTAGAGATACCACCTCAGAAACCCAAGGAGGGGTCGCTATGAGTCAGATCTGACTCAATGGCAGTGAGTTATTATTATTATTATTATTATTATTTGGGTGAAATATTACAAAACAGATTCATTTTACATTTACAGTTCATACACATATTGTTTTGTTGCACTGATTGTATTCCCCATGCTGTAATAGCTCTCATTCCACTTCCTTCCCTTGCTTACCTTTTCCTTGTGTTCTTCTTGCCTATGCATTCCTGCATCCCTACATTTCTCTCTGTACAAATACTGCCTTTCTGATTTCCCATGGTCCCATGTTCTAAGGAGTGCATTTCCCTGGTGTAGGTGTCTGGCTCATAGGTCTGTCTATTGCTTGGCTGAGAGTTAAGCCATGGGAATGGGCCCAATTTCAGGTCTGAAGGGTGACTAGAGGTCATAGTCATGGGGGTTCCCCCAGTCTCTAGTCAACCAGTAAACCTAGCCTTTCTTTTATATTTTTAAATTTTGTTCCACATTTTTGCTCTTCTATTCTACCCAGGATCTTCAATTTTGGCCCCTTTCTGAGTAGTTGGCATTGGTAGCCAGGCACCATCTTGTTCTTCTGGTCTCAGGGTCGTGAAGGCTGAGGTCTCATGGTCCATTAGTTCTTTGGACTAACTGTTTCCATATGTCTTTGATTTTCCTCATTCTTCTTTGCTCTAGAAAAGGAGAGACCAATAATTGTATCTTAGATGGCTGCTTGCAAGCTTTTAAGTCTCCAGTCACTATGTACTGAATGAAGTAAGATGTACAACAATATTTTTGGAGCTCTGGTAGCATATTGGCTAAGACACTTGCCTGCTAACCAGACGGCTGGCGGTTCAAACCCACCAGCCACTCCTCGGAAGGAAGGTTGGGCAATCCTACTTCCGTAGTGATA